ACTGCTTATCATGGATATTAAATAATTAATACTAAGTAGCAACACTAACATGTTTAAAGGCACTTTTTTTCTGTACTGAGGCTTAGACTTACTTTTGAGTGTTTGGCATTCTTGGAAACCCTTGTTTTCATAATAATAGCTTTTCAAGTTTGGACAAGTTCAGACCTCACCTGCAGAGGCATTGGTCCTGAAGAGACAGGCAGACTGATGAAGGTTTGAGGTAAACAGCTGCTCCAAAGGCTCTGGCTTTCTAAATTACACCTTCAGTATTGGCATTAGCAGAGGCTTGTTTTTCAAAGCATTGGCCGGTGAATAAACCAGTTATGTGAGAGGAGCTCACTGTAATAGAACTGGCATTAAACAAGAGGCTTTATAGCACCACAAATAACCTTTGGTTCATGTGTCAACTGTCTCACAGTTGACCTGCCACTGAAATTCTGAGGGACAGATTTTTATCTGTGTTGTATCGGGAATATTCCAGTTAGTAAATGGACTAAATAAAACCTAACCTATTCAGTTCTGAAAATGCAATTAAATAGTGTGCTAAAATAATTGTTGCCCCTAAGAGGAGAGAATTGTACCATTAATAGTGTGGCATTATCTGCCAAATGTGGCAAAAGGATTGTTTGATTACTGTTCTTCCTCTGGTCCCCTTTGTTGTTACACTTTTATTCAAGTCCAGTTACAAAACAGGCATTTCTGTGTCCTGGATAGCCCTGGCTATGCAAGGATCCCTAGAGCTCTGTTTCTGTAGAAAGGAACACTTGTCCCTTCCAGGAAGATGGGGATTTACTTCACAGAGATTTGCTTTACAGGAAGGACTCTGAAATCCTTCAAACTGAAGTACATGTTTACTGCAATCTCATTCGAGTGTGTGGCCTCACTTAAGAAAAGAAACATTTTTGTATTTTTTCTTCTGTATGGGTTCTGAGCATCTTTCCCAGCTCTGGTACAATTCAGGACTAGCCAAAGGAATAATTAAGAATTTTCTAAATTGTATGTTAAGAAATGCATACAATATATGCTCTTAAGCACTGACAGCTTGAATCTGGCAATTCATGTAGAGGAAGAGTCAGGACTCCCAGAAGATTAATACCTGAGTGCAGAATTTCCTATTCTACAGCCTGATAAGTAAGCAAAATACTCAGGAGAGAAGTGTGGTGAAATGAAACTGTACAAAAAGAGCACAGAAAAGGGTCACTAAAGCAGCCTGGTGCCTGGGTACGGTGGAGCTGTGGGCCAACCTTCAGGCACCAGTGACTGTCCCTCCTGTGTAGGGAAAAAAAAGGCGGTCAGAACGCGATGTACGGAAGGATTAGGAGCAGGAACCCTTCCTGTACATGGGATAACATAAGGCTTACACGAGTAGAAATGACACAAATAAGGAGGTGGTAACGAAGGTGTGGCTGTGTATAAAGTGTTGTCTTTGAAGCAATAAAGGCCATTTGCAGCATCCTCATATTGGAGTCAGTGCTCACTGGCCCGGGGGTGGTGCCTCCCGTGCCGCCTCAGGGATTAGGAGCAGGAACCCTTCCTGTACATGGGATAACATAAGGCTTACACGAGTAGAAATGACACAAATAAGGAGGTGGTAACGAAGGTGTGGCTGTGTATAAAGTGTTGTCTTTGAAGCAATAAAGGCCATTTGCAGCATCCTCATATTGGAGTCAGTGCTCACTGGCCCGGGGGTGGTGCCTCCCGTGCCGCCTCAGCCGAAGGAGGTCGGTTGCGATGAACGGCAACGCTCCGGCAAGGTCAAAACGGAACTGAAAACTTTAGAGTTGCCTTAACTGAGCAGCTGGCTGATCTCTTTGTGAATGCAGAACAGGAAATCTACATAAGAAGCTCCTCCATAAACACTCTTGTCTTCTACTAGGAACTGTCGGAAAATCATCTCTGGCTGTTCCTGTTGTTTCACTATCATCAGCTGGAAGAGATAAAAGATGGACATTTCTAGGATACAGTCATACTAGACAGCAGTACAGTTTTGCTGTGTCTGTTAGTGTAGGCTGTAGAGGTGAGGGACAACCCCTAGACTAGTAATTCTCCCCATTGCAGTAGCTGTATGTATGAACACAGGAGAGACTGATGTGAATTAAAGGTTGCAGATTAAAGTGGTTACCTTTGAGACTTGACTACCTTTGGAAATCAGCTTTGATTAGGAATTAAGTAAATAACTGAGATGCCTCTGCCTACAAATCATGCTGGAACTCAGTGGTGTGCAGAAAAGCTCCCAATAGGTAAAAAAACCCTTACAGCTCCTGGTAAGTTTTGGCAAAGCATACAGTGACCATTTGAACTGGTATGAGGAAGAAGTTGAGGCAGGAAGAAGTTACCTTCATAGTGTGGGGCTTTTGGCTCTGGATTTGCTCCAAGATACGCTTCAGTTTCTTAGAAAACGGATTGTCCAGGTCAGGCAGGGATGTCTGTCAGAAGGAAAGCAGGGCAGGTTATATTGCAGTCACATCTGTTAGCAGTTCATCCAGATGAGCTGCTGATAGCTCTGATGCGGATCCCATTCTGAACTGGGAAATGCCATCTCCTTCACAAAAATAGCTCCTTGGGCTCATCTTAAACACTCATCTGTCAAAGCCATTTTTCAGTTTAAAACAATCACTATATGGAAACACTGTCAAGAGAAACTAACTATTGCAAAGTGTTTTGTACCAATTTTTGCAGTGCACAGTTTACCTGCAACAGGCAAAATTTAAGATTTTTAAAAAGTTGTGAAAGCTTCTGTCCCATAAAGGGTTCAGAGTGTAAAAGCTTTAGAGTTTTATGCAAGTTAAAATTCATCTGGTGTCTCAATACCTTCTGCTGGTCACCTGTTTCTGCCTTTAAGACTGAATGATGAAAAACCACCTAGCTTGTTTCTCTGATTAGCATCTTGTCTTGCTAAATCCTAAATTCTTAGTCAGCATCTACTCACGGCCTCGGCTCTGATGTGTGCGAAGGAAGGCACGTTGAAGAGCCCTTGGATGAGCTCTGGGGACACGCTGGCTCCCAGCCACAGGAACATGTGCAGCCCGTTGGCCAGCAGGAAGGCCCCTGCCTCCGACAGACGCTCCTCGGCGCAGCGGATGGCGGCGGGGACAGCGTCACTCTTCAGATCCAGGCTGTGCTGTGGGGCAAAGCACAACAGCTAGAGAACGGGCACCTAAAGCTCTAATTCCATACTGAAAAATATTGAAATGTTTAGTGCGTCACAGTGGTTCCTCTCCAGCTAAGAGCAATTAGAAATGAAATCTCCTTTTTCAGGTGAGGTGTGTGCAAAGGAAGACCTGCCCTGAGAGGGGAGACACTGCACAGCACCGTTGATCTTTACGCAGAGCTTGCTAAGAGCACGGTGAGGTTCCTCAAGGATATGATGTTAGTGATTGATAATGGGATGAACAGATCGTGCACCAGTGTAAAACCCAAAAAGGTGTGGGAGACTCACCAGTGGCAGCAGCAGGGGGTAGAAGAAGAGCTGTGTGTCAGCCACCCCCATGGCCATGACGAGCTGGCGCTGGTAGACTCTGTCGTCCGTGGGGGTTTCGGGCCGGCCCAGCAGCACACAGCTCTTCAGCAGGCAGTTCATGTACACAGGCAGCACCTTCATCGTGTCCGGCAGGATCAGCTGCGAGGCACAGAAAGGTGGGACTCAATACAGTTCTTTATATTGTCTGAAACCAGATGCAACAGCTCTGAATGGCTAACACATTTACTAAGGATCCAGCTGTCTTGGCTGCTGTCATCTCCCTGCAAGCTCTGCTCATTTTTAGGCACTAATTTAAAGGGGAATGCTCTGAACAATTAAGGAAGGAAGTAAAGGTGCACAGTAAGTGGCTCTGAGTTTGTTTCTGACATTCTGGGCCTCATTACCAATGAACAATTCATTGCCCAGGCTTGTGATTCTTGGCAGCACTGTGTGGGATATGAAAGCCCAAGTCTCTGAGCTGAAGTGCTGGGACATGAATGAATGATGTAAAAGGAAACACATCAGTCAGTCTGATTTATCAAAAAACAGAATACTACACACATCTTCAACAACATAACAATTTAAAATGCAGTCTTTGTGAGTCAGCACCTAATTCAGCA